GACCTAGAGAAAAATTGCTTGTGTCAATCTCCAAATGAGCAAGGGTAGGCCTTTAAATGGAAGCCTATGTCTTCTTTTGCTACCTATTTTTGGGCACTGCTGTATATGTGCCAAGGAGGAGGAGAAGGGATGAAGACAACCAGGCAGTGGGATTATCTAGATGATCATAAGAGTTCCCACCCAGAACGCTGATCTATAAAACACTCCAACAAGATTTAATAGTATGCTTTTACAGGATTTATTTTTGCCTTCACACCTTTTTTCCAGACAGCATATAGTATACTGTAGCATGTCACAGTACTTTTGTCATGTTTTGTTATTCAGAATTATAATGACCTTGTCAGTATGGGTTATTTATGTAGCACTATAACAGTCCACTGTGTCATGGTTCAGGGTATTAAGTCAGAGCCCAATCTTGATTCCATTATAGACATAGATTTATTTTTGCCTTCACACCTTTTTTCCAGACAGCATATAGTATACTGTAGCATGTCACAGTACTTTTGTCATGTTTTGTTATTCAGAATTATAATGACCTTGTCAGTATGGGTTATTTATGTAGCACTATAACAGTCCACTGTGTCATGGTTCAGGGTATTAAGTCAGAGCCCAATCTTGATTCCATTATAGACATAGCAAGTAGCAGAAAAAAATCCATACTGAATATTCAAGTATTCTGTATGCTTTGAGCAGAGGGTTGGACTAGATGGCCCCCTGAAGTCTTTTGCAACCCTAATATTCTGTGGTTAGGTTCACTCACAGCTGACACAGATAGTTCATATTCTCATTGAAACTGAGTTTGGGAGAAATTAAAGCCCAAGGGAGTGAGATAATGGGTTGGGTGAGAACTACTGAATGGTTTCAAAAAGCCAAAAAAGCAGGTTCATTCTTAAAATTAGTAGGGTGGTATTTTTGTTTTGTTTTGTTTTGTTGCATTTTTTTAAAAAGTTGTCTTTGAGACTGACACAATAACAAAAAAGTCTGTTGGTCTGATCCCTGAAAAGGTGGATATGCTGGGTTCCTATAAAACTCCCCTGGCCCAGGGGAAAGCTTATTAGGAATGGAAACTCAGGAACTAATAGGTGAATACAGCAAAAGCTGCGGAGGGAGGTGCAAGAAAAGTTGACATTTGCTTTAAGGATAATTTAGGAAAAACAGTTGTCTAAAGTTATGTAAGACATACCAAGCTATGCCTTACTAAAAGGAAGATGGTTCCATAAGCAAATATTGCGTGGTAAGTACCATAATACATGTTTACTTAGGTATATTTCAGTGCTGTTTTACTGATCTCTATGTGTAAACAGAGATGGTATGCCAGTAACCTCGTCATTTAAGTATAAAGGGTTCAATTCAACCCTTATACAGACAGCCAGAAAAAGGCCTAGTGCTTCATTACACTACGTTACTTATGCAGCTTTAATCCCACTAAAGTTTTCTGAAGGCTTTAAACCGTGCTTAGGTCTTGTGCTGGGTCTCTGGGTGAATTTCACACACAGGCAAATCATTACAGTGAACCCTCGTTTATCGCGGTAGATAGGTTCCAAACCCTACCGCGATAGATGAAAATCCGCGAAGTAGAAGTAGGATCCTCAAAGCCTCGGGGGAAGCCGGCGGGGGGGGCATCCCAGGCACGCCTGGGATGTATGCCCGGCGTACAAGACGACCCCCGATTTTTGGGGGATGTTTTTTAACATCAAAAGTCGTCTTGTATGCCGGAATATACGGTACCCTCTGCAGATTCCAGTTTCTGATCAACTGACATAATGTTCAATATTGCTGTATCAGATATAATAGATTTTCTATTATTAATCATACAGGTATTAGATATAACTATACAGAAGAGTGGCGGTGGCGAAAGCATTCAGGAGACCCACATTCAGTTTGTCTCCTCTTCAGGCTTCCTGTGTTGTGACCTGGAGCAAAGTCACTTTCTCGCTTTCTCTTTTTCTCTGTGTCACTTTTTCATCTGTAAAATGAAGATATTTCCGTGTAAAATGAAGATATTTCCCTATCTCACAGGCATATGGAGTACATAAGTACATTTTGGGGGGAGGGGGAGAAGTGAGGTACTAGGGCAATGGGAGTTATGTAAATATCTTAGATTAGCTAATAGAACTTGCGAAGACTTATGCCTATACTTAATGTTACATTCGGTTCGACCATCGCGGATTCACGTATATACATAATGTAATGAAAAAAGTCCGCGAAGTCGTGAATCCGCGATAGTCGAACCGCGAAGTAGCGAGGGTTCACTGTATTAAGTGGGTCTATTCTGTGATAAGATTGGCACAAATCTATCTAAATAAGGACAGATTAAATGAAATGGAAGCCTTTTAATCAGAATAACTGAAACTAATAGCAGCCATTTGAAAGGTTAATTCTATACTTATCCTTGGAATTTTAAGAGTTATTCTTTGATTTTAATTTTTTCCATTATGATAATGTTTGTTGTTCATATTAATGCAGATGGACCTTATGGACTAACAGTTAATTCAGATAGAGGACTGAAAGTAGGAGAGGTGTTTACAGTTGATATAGGAGAAGCTATCCTATTTGATTGCTCAGCGGACTCAAATCCTCCCAATACTTACTCTTGGATCCGAAGGGCTAACAATACTACACATGTTATCAAATATGGACCCCACCTGGAAGTTGTATCTGAAAAAGTGGCCCAGTCAACAATAGATTATATGTGCTGTGCTTACAACAATGTGACTGGAAAGCAGGACGAAACTCATTTCACAGTGATCATTACATCTGTAGGTAAGAACACAACATGTGTAATATAGCAAATGCTGATCCAGTCTAAATTAAATAACTGCAAAGAAATTTTTCAGAGAATCCCAAAGAAAAGCCATTGTAAATGGTACAATTCTGCTCAAGTATGAAAACTCCTTATTTACTACCTGTTCGTTACTAATTAGAAAACATTTTCTGGGTTTTTAATAATTTAATTACTAAGGAACAATAGATTTTTTTCAGAAGATGTGGCTAAATTATTAATGTACAGGAAGGTGTCAGACTGTTGCCTTTTAGAAAGTTTTACAAACATGTTTTTCTGGTACTGGACAAAGAGCTTAGACATTTATTATTAAGATAAACAAGGACAGCAGGTGTCTATTGTTCAGATGGATTTAATGTAATTGCAAATGAAAGCTCCATGGTTTCAAACACCCTAGCAGAAAACAGGATACAATTTTTCAGAGGAAATATTGCAGTTTAAAATAAAATAATGTGGTAACTAGAAGAGGGAAATGCAAACAGAGCTGTCATGTTCCATTAGGAGTACAAATGGCATTTTTCCTGAAAGTGAAAGTAGACCAGGACTCCTAGTATCTGTGTTTATAAATAAACACACAGGCTACGTCTAGACTGGCATGATTTTCCGCAAATGCTTTTAATGGAAAAAATTTTCCGTTAAAAGCATTTGCGGAAAAGAGCGTCAGAATTTTACCTGAATTAAGGAGTGTAGTCTGGAATCCAGTGGTTTGTATTACTGAAATAAATCCTTGGAAATAGGAAGAATGGCATAAAATGGAAAAAACTGATGATCTCTAAACTTAAAATCTTATGAAGTAATTTTGCAAAGAAGAGCTGCATTTTTAAGTACAACCAAATATAGAATGTACACGCCATATGGACTTTGCTTTCTATCAGGCTTCAAAAACAGATCTCAAAACTATTGCTCATAATTGTGCATGGCTGCGTCTAGACTGGTAAGTTTTTCCACAAAAGCAGCTGCTTTTGTGGAAAAACTTACCAGTCTAGACGCAGCCATGCACAATTATGAGCAATAGTTTTGAGATCTGTTTTTGAAGCCTGATAGAAAGCAAAGTCCATATGGCGTGTACATTCTATATTTGGTTGTACTTAAAAATGCAGCTCTTCTTTGCAAAATTACTTCATAAGATTTTAAGTTTAGAGATCATCAGTTTTTTCCATTTTATGCCATTCTTCCTATTTCCAAGGATTTATTTCAGTAATACAAACCACTGGATTCCAGACTACACTCCTTAATTCAGGTAAAATTCCCCTTAACTTCAGTGAAAGGTCTGCCTGTGTGTTTCCTCAAATATATGTACTTCCAGTGAATTTCTCCATGGGGAACAAACTCTAAAATCTTTAATGGTAATTTTACCAGATTAGTGATTACTTTCCAAGGAAGATATTCTGTGTTTTTGCTTCCCCAATATCTAAGGTTATGTCTACACTACCAGGTTATCTCAAAATAAGTTATTTTGAAATAATCATAGAATCATAGAATCATAGGACTGGAAGGGACCTCGAGAGGTCATCGAGTCCAGCCCCCTGCCCTCAAAGCAGGACCAAGCTCCGTCTCCACCATGCCTGACAGATGTCTATCTAACCTGTTCTTAAATATCTCCAGAGGGGGAGATTCCACCACCTCCCTTGGCAATTTATTCCAATATTTGACCACCCTGACAGTTAGGAATTTTTTTCTAATGTCCAATCTAAACCTCCCTTGCTGCACTTTAAGCCCATTACTCCTTGTCCTGTCCTCAGAAACCAAGAGGAACAAATTTTCGCCTTCCTCCTTGTGACACCCTTTTAGATATTTGAAAACCGCTATCATGTCCCCCCTTAATCTTCTTTTTTCCAAACTAAACAAGCCCAGTTCATGAAGCCTGGCTTCATAGGTCATGTTCTCTAAACCTTTAATCATCCTTGTCGCTCTTCTCTGTACCCTTTCCAATTTCTCCACATCTTTCTTGAAATGTGGCACCCAGAACTGGACACAGTACTCCAGCTGAGGCCTAACTAGTGCAGAATAGAGCGGCAGAATGACTTCACGAGTTTTGCTTACAACACACCTGTTGATACAACCTAAAATCATATTTGCTTTTTTTGCAACAGCATCACACTGTTGACTCATATTCAACTTGTGGTCCACTATGACCCCTAGATCCCTTTCCGCCATGCTCCTTCCTAGACAGTCGCTTCCCATCTTGTATGTATGGAACTGATTGTTCCTTCCTAAGTGGAGCACTCTGCATTTCTCCTTATTAAACCTCATCCTGTTTACCTCCGACCATTTCTCTAACTTGCTAAGGTCATTCTGAATTATGTCCCTATCCTCCAAAGAAGTTGCAACCCCACCCAGTTTGGTATCATCTGCAAACTTAATAAGAGTACTCTCTATCCCAATATCTACATCATTGATGAAGATATTGAACAGTACGGGTCCCAAAACAGACCCTTGAGGAACTCCACTTGTTATCCCTTTCCAGCAGGATTTAGAACCGTTAACAACAACTCTCTGACTACGGTTATCCAGCCAATTATGCACCCACCTTATCGTGGCCCTATCTAAGTTATATTTGCCTAGTTTATCAATAAGAATATCATGCGAGACCGTATCAAATGCCTTACTAAAGTCTAGGTATATGACATCCACCGCTTCTCCCTTATCCACAAGGCTCGTTATCTTATCAAAGAAAGCTATCAGATTAGTTTGGCATGACTTGTTCTTCACAAACCCATGCTGGCTATTCCCTATCACTTTATTACCTTCCAAGTGTTTGCATATGATTTCCTTAATTACCTGCTCCATTATCTTCCCTGGGACAGACGTTAAACTGACCGGTCTATAATTTCCTGGGTTGTTCTTATTCCCCTTTTTATAGATGGGCACAATATTTGCCCTTTTCCAGTCTTCTGGAATCTCCCCTGTCTGCCATGATTTTTCAAAGATCATAGCTAAAGGCTCAGATACCTCCTCTATCAGCTCCTTGAGTATCCTGGGATGCATTTCATCAGGACCTGGTGACTTGCTGACATCTAACTTTCCTAAGTGATTTTTAACTTGTTCTTTGTGTATCCTATCTTCTAAACTTACCCTCTCTCTGCTTGTATTCACTACGTTAGGCACACCTCCAGACTTCTCGGTGAAGACCGAAACAAAGAAGTCATTGAGCATCTCCGCCATTTCCAAGTTCCCTGTTACTGCTTCTCCCTCCTCACTAAGCAGTGGGCCTACCCTGTCCTTGGTCTTCCTCTTGCTTTTAATGTATTTATAAAAGGTCTTCTTGTTTCCCTTTATGCCTGTAGCTAGTTTGATCTCATTTTGTGCCTTTGCCTTTCTAATCTTGCCCCTGCATTCCCGTGTTGCTTGCCTATATTCATCCTTTGTTAGTTGTCCTAGTTTCCATTTTTTATATGACTCCTTTTTTATTTTGAGATCATGCAAGATCTCCTTGTTAAGCCAAGCTGGTCTTTTGCCATATTTTCTATCTTTCCTACACAGCGGAATTGTTTGCTTTTGGGCCCTTAACAACGTCCCTTTGAAATACTTCCAACTCTCCTCAGTTGTTTTTCCCTTCAGTCTTGCTTCCCATGGGACCTTACCTACAAGTTCTCTGAGCTTATCAAAATCTGCCTTCCTGAAATCCATAACCTCAATTGTGCTGGTCTCCCTTCTACCTTTCCTTAAGATCATGAACTCTATTATTTCATGATCACTGTCCCCTATACTGTCTTCCACTTTCAAGTTCTCAACTAGTTCCTCCCTATTTGTTAAAACCAAATCCAGAACAGCTTCTCCTCTGGTAGCTTTTTCAACCTTCTGAAACAGAAAGTTGTCTCCAATGCAGTCCAGAAACTTATTGGATAGCCTGTGCCTCGCTGTGTTAGTTTCCCAACATATGTCTGGATAGTTGAAGTCCCCCATCACCACCAAATCTTGGGCTTTGGATAGTTTTGTTAATTGTTTAAAAAAGGCCTCATCCACCTCTTCCACCTGGCTAGGTGGCCTGTAGTAGACTCCTAGCATGATATCACCCTCGTTTTTTACCCCTTTTAGCTTAACCCAGAGACTCTCTACACAGCTATCTCCTACGTTCATCTCCACTTCAGTCCAAGTGTGTACATTTTTAATATACAAGGCAACCCCTCCTCCCTTTTTTCCCTGTCTGTCCTTCCTGACAGAATGTGCTCAGCATGTTTGTCTTAGACCTGCCCACTCTTCCCTGTTGAAGAAACAAAAACATGAACAGGGAAGAACTGTTCATTCTTCTTTTAAAAGACTAGGGGGGCAGTGTCCCCTGCTCTCTCTGCCACATTCAGCACTTACCTGTGGGCTTTGCTCACCTGTCCCCGTCGAACCTAGTTTAAAGCCCTCCTCACAAGGTTAGCCAGTCTGTGTCCAAACAAGGCCTTCCCGCTCCTGGAAAGGTGAACTCCATCTCTGCCAAGCAGTCCTTCCTGGAAGAGCACCCCGTGGTCAAGGAAGCCGAAGCCCTCCTGGCGACACCATCCTCGCAGCCAGGCATTCACCTCCAGGATGCACCTCTCTCTGCCCGGGCCCCTACCTTTGACAGGAAGGATCGAAGAGAATACCACCTGCACCCCAAACTCCCTCACCTGTACTCCCAAAGCCCTGTAGTCACGCTTGATCCACTCAGTGTCACACCTGGCAGTATCATTTGTGCCCACATGGATGAGTAGCATGGGGTAGTAGTCAGAGGGCCGGATAATCCTCGACAATGCTTCCATAACATCTCGGATACGGGCCCCTGGCAGACAGCATACCTCTCGAGATGAACTGTCAGGGCGACAGATGGGCGCCTCCATTCCCCTCAGAAGAGAGTCTCCAACCACCACTACCCTATGTTTCTTCCTCGCGGTGGTGGCAGGAGACTGCTCAACCTTGGTGGTGCAAGGCCTGGTCTTCTCCACTGTGGGGGGTGACTCCTTGTCTCCTGCAGAAAGCTATTCCTGAAATAACTATTTCTCTTCACAAGCAG